AACGGGCGGCGAGCAGCGCACAGGCGGGCGGCGCAGAATTGTCTCAACGCGCCGCGTCACAGGCATGGTGGAACTCACAGAGCCTCATTGTCACAGGAAAAGGTCTCATTGGTATTAAAAAACACTGTTCTTGTCTTATTGAGACTGCCGGGAGCGCTCCGAAACGACCCGAGGGCCGTCCGGCAGACTCCGTGCAGTTGCAGGGCTTCACCCGCGTCACGGAGTGCCAGGGACCCCGCACACTGGTCCAGCCGAGACGATGGCATCACAATATTTCCTTTTTCAGACCATGACCCTACACCGGCGGTTCGGCCATAAACGAATGAGATATCCGGGTCAAATTTGCGGAGCCTGATCCGATGGATAAACAAATTACCGTATTGGGAAATTTACAGATCACGTGCATAGATAATGGGGCGCCCACAGGCCGCTAGATTTTCACCTAAATATCTCATATATAACATCACCAAAAATGCGCCAGGACTCGAAGGCCTGGAGAAGCCCCTTCGAATGGCCGGAAGGGTAGAGCAGCCCCCAGAATCCTGCTACCTCCACCCACGGGCCGTCCACTCGTCTTACAGAAACCGGGAGGCCTCGGCAGGTCTTAGCAGCTATCCAGGGGCTTCCACAGGCTTCCGGACCTGCCACGGCCTGCCAGCCATATTCCCAGAGCGCGTAAGTCTTCCGGCCTTTCGGAAGACTTCTAGTAACCAGCGAGCAGGCTTCCAGCAACTCCCTAGGGGCTTCGACATCCTTCTGGCAATTTCTATGGCTGAGGAAGTCTCCTCAGATCCTGCAAGGCATCTCGGGACATCTGTATCCTTTCACTCACTTCCATACCATTCAGATATCATGCCACAGTTGTTCAAATAAAATGCATTCGTTATTCTAAATACATTATACATGTTTACGATTATATAATCTGAAGAAACTCAATTCAAAGACGCACAAGAACTTGGAAACTTACAAATTTGAGCACAGCACAAACATCGACATTTGTCAGCTGCAAGGATAATAAGACAGCGCAAGAAAGGAGAATGATGTAAACCAGTTTATACAGAGAGCAGGAGAATCTGCGACAAAGGGTCAGAACACGGAAACGGCAGAGACATACCATCAAGGATTTGCAGTACAAAAACTGCAACGAAATAATAATAAGACTCAGGCTCATAACATAGAGACGCACTCACCGGCGTTACCGCGAGCGGTCACATTCTTTACTCGCGTGCGGCGCCTGGGAAGAATGGGAGGTGCACATCAGCATGAGGACGGGGAGGAGCACGCACTCAGCTGGGCACCGCGTGGGCCGGCACGGGGCACGGCACCGCAATCGTGAGCACAGTCGTGCGCACCGCATCTGTGCGCGTGCCGCGGCCGTGCCCAACCGACGACATACGGACTAGGGTGGACAGGTAGTCAGTGACTGCGGTCACAGGGGAAAGCTGCACATAGTGACATACTTACCTAGAGGCACCGGACGCGGCGCCCTCGGCGGCAGAGGCGATGGAGACCAGACCGAAGCCCTCGGCGGCAGGTGCAGATGAGATCACGCAGGAAGCGGCAGAGACGAGATGGAGGAGCGCGCGGACGACGCAGAGGCCGAGCGGGAGGCCGCGGACGCAGAGAGACCGGAGGTCGCCGAGCGAGATGCAGTGCCGGAGGCAGAGGGCGGCGTGGTAGCGTGGAAGAGGGTGACGCCACGCACGCGACAGAGAAGGCGGCGCTGCTTGTGAGAACGTCGCTCGTGTTGGTCGTGCTGATGAATCTGAGCGTGTATGGCCTGTGTAGAGTGATAAGTGTTAATTTGTGGCATTAGATCGGCGGCACACGAAGTACACGGGAGCGATAGGGCGAGATGGCAACGGATAGATGCAAAGGATGGATGTTCGATGGACGGATGGGTGGAATGGAAGGAGTGGAAGCGAAAATTGCGTGAGATTGCACGTACCCAGGTTCGACCTCCGGGAGCTGCACCACGACCTTGATATCCTGTCTGGACTACAACGCGAGACCGCCAGGCTGTCGCCATATGGTTAGTCAGTTTCGGCACCGCGGTTGCGCGGAACTACGTACATAAGTGACATTCAAGTCGGAGCTGAAGAGCGCATAGGTGTAATTGTAAGCCGCGATTTGGGCGCGATGGTCAGAAGATGGATATATGCGCACCCTTACTAGATGCCCGCGGACCACCGTGAGGAAGCAGGACGATGCCGGCTGAGGTGAAGTAATCATAAGCCGCAATGGTGAGAAGATGGATAAATGCGCACAAAATGTACTCACGGCGCTGGTTTGTACATGGTCTTGCGCAATTATGAGCCCATAAACAGTTTGCTGGTCGCTGGGAAGGGAGCCGAGTGCAAAGGTAGCGGCGGGCTCTTGCTGGGCAGGGGTTACCCGGCTCCACGTGACGCGACGTTGAGCTTGAGGAGAGAGAGCAGCAAGCCAGCCAGAAGGGAGGGGCCACTGAAAGGGACGAGAGAGTGATGAGGGAGGAAAGACGGGAGGGCTGCGAGACATGATGGTGGTAAGAGGCAAGAGCGCGTCTGATGCGCGCTCTCTTATAAGTAAAAAGAAACGTGACACGTGATGCGTCAACAAAAGCTTCTTCTGCACCGCGGAGAAGACGACGCTCCCCGCCCCTGCCAAGCGCCAAGACAACGCGTTCATCCTCATCCGCAGCCAGTGCTGTGTCGACCTTGCCGCCTCCGACGCGTCTTTGCCGACGCGTCCGTCCGGGTGACCGCCGCCTCGCGCTGCTCCACGTACTGCTGGCGAGCGGGGGTAGCGTGCCTGTGCAGCTCGAATACGAACTGCGCGACCGCGAGCGGGGGTACGCAGCGCAGAGCGAACACGACCTGTTTGGGTATGAGGGCGACAGAGAGACAGAGACAGTGGGCACCTCGCGCACGACGGGTTCAGCACGCTTCTGCCGGTGATGCAGCCGCACTGGCACGCGCGCACACACTCCGATGCGAAGGCGGGCCCTCGAGCGCGGCGGAGTCTGGCCGTGTACATGGGGGGTACAAACCCGACGCTGGTGCTAGAGCGGGCGACGATGGCGAGGCGAGCGCAGCCTGGGCAGTGGTGTAGTGCCAAACTCGGAAGACGTGTGGGATGCTCTTGCTTGCGCTCGCGCACACGCTGGGAAGCACCTGGGTACGTGCGCAGCCAGACCGCGATGTCGCCACCTACACTGACCGCCACCGTATCTGTCCCGCATTCGGTGTTGACATGGCGGCCGCGGGGTCGTGTCGCACGCGATAGTGGTGGTTGTCCTCTCTGACGTCACGGCGGCAGCACCATATTGGCGCGCGGTGACGATCGGCTCGGTGGTGAACATGAGGTCGAGGATCGCCACGTCGGGGTGCGAGAAGCTAGATGCAGGGCCCTGTTCGTGCGTCAAAGGATAAGCCAGCTGGTGGTTGGAGCAAAAACAGCCAGATGTTTGCAATCATCTACCGTGAAATAAAATCATACCTTTGAGCTAGACTGGTTTTATAATGACATTCTTGGGCGTAGTTGGCTGACTTGGATTCACGTCCTCGGCAGCCGGTTGGAAGCGACGAAGCAGAGAAGGAGCCTTCTAAACAAACTTTCCTGCTCCAGAGGAGGGGCTGGAATGCAGCCCAGACCACGGAAGAGTGGTGGAAGCGCGTCACAAGGCTGCTGGTGTCGTCTGAAGTCGCTGGTGAGGCTTGAAGCACCGTGTGAGACGTCTGGAAGGCATGCAAAGAGAGTAGATGCTACTAGAGGAGGGGGCTGGAAGACAGCCCAGGCCATGGAAGCGCGTTACAAGGCTTCTGATGTTGTGCAAGGTCGGTGTGAGGCTGGACTCGTGTGCAGTCCAGATGGACATTGTGAGGCTTGGAGCGCCTTGCGAGATACCTAGAGGGCGTGCAAAGAACGTGGATGCTACGCGGATGGTTGCTGGAACGCTGTGTTGTACGTGGATGGCCGCTGGAAGGCAGCCAGCGCTTTGCACGTGGTGGGGAAGGCACGTGGCAGGCTCCTAGGCCCATCTCCGGCCCGGAAGCCCAGCCAAGCTTGGCGCATTTTTGGTGATGAAATGATTCAAATGGCGCCCGTTTATGTCGGAACCTGTGACATGGGAGCAGCTTCTGTAGCTCGACAGAAGTAGACAGGTGCCCAGAGCGCATGGATTGGGGGACGGCAGATAGTCCTAGTTTCAGGAAAAGACTGTGATCGCAAACAAGTGTGGGCATGGAAGACGAGCAAGGGCGTCGAGAGAGAGGGAGAACAAGGCGGCTGATGCTGAAAAGGAGGCCGGGCCGGGCTGTGCAGCCAAGCTCGTATCGCTGGATACAGAAAAGGGCGCGACTTGCAAGCGACTTGCAATTGCGGAGCGGGCGAATGGAGGTGGATTGAATGAAATGTGAGAAATATAAATCAGAATGCGCATCCCACACTTGGTAAACTGTCAAGTAGCGGGAGGGCGCCGGCAGCGGGCCTCCCGTACCATTTGTTCAATAGCACTCAATGAATGTTCTTTTTTTTGCGAGCTTCATCCTGCTCCAAAAAAATTGAATGAAGTAAGTATGTCTCATTTCTCGAATTGTCCTCGAATAAAAAACGTCACGGCTCGTGCCCGAGTCGAACGGACATCCTCTGCTGTACCATCGCAGTTCAGTTTAGATCATGCAGATGTGGACCATCCACTACATACCTGCATCTAAATTACCGTCAATAATTTCCCTCGCCGAGGCGTACGATTCGGTCGCACGTTGGAGAATGCTCAACACGCTCTTTATCGCGAGTTTTGGGCTTTACAAGTCGATATCAAGGCGATCGCGAGATGACCGCTCCGACGACCTTGGACTGGCTACTCGGAGTATTTTGGGCAACTGTGTGCGTGTTTCTGGCTCCGCGCCGCCTGGGGTTGCTCGAACTGGAACACGGTTCCAGATCGTACTATGTACTTTGTAAATCTGCCACCATTGCCTCACGGAGTGGTAGACCTATGGATTTTGATATTTTCATGGGACACTGTGGCCTAGTGGTAGAGCGTGCGATTGCAATAGCGGGAAACTGTATGATCGCGAGGTCCCGTGTTCGAACCACGGCAGTGTCTACTTTTTTCGCTCGTCATACCGAGCGGTCCCTGTTAACTTGTTACCGGCCTGGTTCAAGCTGTATGGCCCTTACAGCCAGAGGAGGTCCAACTACTCTCACTGTCTTGCCCTGGAGCGGCTACGATGGGTTGCACAGCGCCGACCGCGTATTGATCGGAACTTAAGATTATGCCGTTTTTGTAAGGCCCAAATTGAGTCGCCGGAACACGCGCTGTTGCAATGCACCGCGAGTGCAGACCTGATGTTACTATTTCTGGCACGCATGAATCGCGATATCAAACGACTTCCAGCGCCAAACTCCATGCCAGCACTGGAATTCTTTACCCTCATGATATCCTATAGGCACACAATCTCGCTGGTCGCAAAATATGTGTTCGGAGTCACGGAAATTTTTGAGTCGACTCCTATGCTCATTTCCGCGCTCCCGTTACATTAGATGACATTATCATATGTGTTAGATGCATATGGTATGCATATGGGTGTGATGTGTCACAAAGACCTTTGTGCCTTGTTTTCTAAGATTTACTTAACATTTATTGAGATAAAGTATAATTTAAGAAAAGATGCAATTAATTTTGAGGTTTGATGGTACATTTATGTATGGTATGCTTAAGTGTTATTTGCACAAGCCGTAACTCGGCTGCAGAACATCCCACCCACATGATGCGTCATGGAGGGGTCCATCCCATGCACTGTGGGCTTCACACTCGCGCATCGCCCTTGTCGAAGGCGGGCCACGTGCGTGCATCGCTGCGAGGCCTGCCCGCCCGTCGCCTTTGTCAGCGGTGAGGCCCGTGTGCGTGTTGCCTTTGTCAAATGTGAGCCACAGGTGCACGTCCCCTTTGACACTGGCAAGGGCTGCCCACCCATTGCCTTTGCCAGTGGCGAGGCCTGCGTGAAGGTCGCCTTTGTCAGCAGCGAGGCCAGCCCGCCCGTCGCCTTTGTCAGTGGCAAGGCCCATGCATGTGTTGCCTTTGTTAAAGGCGAATCACGCGTGCGCGTCTCATTTGACACCGGCAATGCCCACCTACACATCACCATTGACAACAGCGAGGCATCCGTCACCTTTGTCAGTGGCGAGGCCCGCCCGTTGCCATTGTCACCGGTGAGACCTCAGACAGGTCCGCAAAGCTGGTGCGTTTGGAGCCTCGGTTTGTTATCGGAGGTGACAGCGGCGGTGCAGCATGAAGTGATTCCGGGTGAAAGGTGGTCGTTATCGCTGGTGGCAGCGGTGGAATAGCCTGAAGCGAGTTATGAAAGGGAGATTTTAAGAGCTTATTCTATAAATATTACCTCGAAGTGAGCATCTTCCGAGGCCACGGGAGTGTTGACCGGATTAAAGAATGAGGAATTCACGTCTGCTTGCAGAGAGGAAGGGCCCATATAAACCTACAATAAATGTGGATCAGAATAAGTCAATCAGAGGAAACTTACATCAAATAAATGGCCTCCAGCTGGAAAGAATTCTTCAAAGTGAGGATGTTATTCAAACACTTGGAGCAGCGTAACTTCAAAGATTGCATACCATGTCCGGGTACAGGGATCTTGCCTCCTGCTTTTTCCGCTGGAATTTGAAGGGACGACAGCTCTAGAGTAAATAAATAATGATGATAAGCAAACGAAAATGAATGTAATGTACCTTCAACCTGGATACCAGGATTTTTGACAACTTGAGTTTTACACTTGGTAGGCGAAGCTTGAAACGCTTTGAGGAAAGAAGTTGTTGCTGGAGATATAATCGGTACTTGAGATAATAATTATGCGGGTCGACTCTTGTTCTTCATCTTCGAAACCAATCTGGAGGTGGCGTGTGCGCCGGATGGCGCGTGTATGTGTCGTGTCGTCTTGATGGTATGAGACTCGTTGTTGGAATCCTTTGAGGCGGGAGCGGGCGCAACGGGCTTCGCTGCCTCCACGCCCTTGACGACGCACTGGCCCCATATAGCGCCAGCGGCGAGCGCTGCATATCACATCAGCGTCCAGACTGAAAACACACCTCAAGCTCGACAATCCGCCGCCCATCGCGCAACAAATCGCCGATACGCATGAGCTGCGGGTGCACCTCCTCTTTTTTTTGAGGCCGACCGTGCGGCGCTCCAGTGTCCCGCTGGCATTGGCCATCTCCTTTGTCGCATCGTCGTCGTAGGAGGGCAGAGGGCACGGCCCGCCCGTGGGCCCACTCAGTGGGAGCCACCCGCGCATATTGATATCCTCCTCTAGCTCCAACTCGACCTCGACCGTCTCCCTTGGTACGGCCACGTCACGTCGTCTTGCCCCGCGGCTTCCACTCCTCCAAATTGGGAGTCTGGACGTGCGGCAGGCAGCGAAAGCACTGGGAGTAATGCGACAGGAAAACTGCGTGCCAGGCAGCGCCGAAATTCGGCGTACACTGCCCAAAAGCGCACCAGCTGCGCCCGCAGCTCCAGCTCCTCTTCGTTGTGCTCCTTCTCAGCCTCCATCTTCCCGCCCCCGTTCTCCTTTGCGCGCGCCGCATCGTTTGTCACCCCGCCTCCGTCTGTAGCCGCGCACACCCACGCCCCATTGGCGATCACCCACTTGCTGCCCACGCGCAACGCAGGCAACGTCCGCCGGAACTCCGCACTGATGCGCTCCGCGAGCTCTGGCCTAGCTGGGGTCTCGGCCAGCGACACCATCAGCCGCAGTCACGACGGCCGCAGGGCCACCGTGGGCCGCACCGCGCGCGCCGACCCTTGCCGGGTGCGGGAAGTGCTGACGCTGGCGCTGGCGCAGGAGCCCGGGGCTGCGCGTACATATCGACCTCCTTAAGCTCGCGCACCCCCACAACGAGCAGCGCCGTGCGCGAGCAGATGCGCGAGATGTGCGGGATCCTGCTGCACCGCAAGGCGTCTCGTAAGCGGGGCTTGGGTTCCGCTGCTGCGGGGATGGGCGCCAGCTTGTGCTTCGTGCGACGGCGGGCCCGGTCCCTCTCCTTTACTTTGGTGTCTTTCTCCTTCGCGTCCTCTGCATCCCCTGCATCCGCCACAGAGGACGCTGGCGCGACGGCAGGCAGCACAGGCCTCATTCGCCCGAGCCAGACTGCAGCCTGCGCCAGCACGCCGACGCCGAGAGGACAGTAGCCGCGCGAAGAGTCGCGCAGTGTGTGCGGAGAGAGACAACACTTGACTGGCGGGAGCGCTGAGAAGGAAATCATCAGCTAGGTGTTCGTGCCGTAGGTAAGATGGTATCGGGGAGGGAGGGATGCGTGGAGGGCAGCGCGGCGAGACGGAGAGAACGAGGACAAAAACACACCTGGCCTCACGCCACAGCGCATGCAATAAAACCAAATCCTGCTTGAAGCGTTAGATACGCACACGGAGTGGCTCGCACTCCTCGCGTTCGTGCCCCCCCTCGACGACGACTGTGCTCACCGCTGCCTCGACGGCTGCGCGCGCTTGCGGGTGCGTGAGCGCCTTAGTGAGCACGCCGGCGAGATTCTCCCCAGCGGTGTCGAACGGTGCGCGCATGGAGGTACCATGCGACGGACGCGAGCGTGTCACCTTCGTACCTGCGGTCAGTCAGCATGATCCGGGACGAGGAAGGCGGGCGGGTGCACGCAACCCGCGAGTATCGCTAGCTGGTGCGAGGCGTTCCCCTCGTGCGGTGCAAGCGCGTGCGCAGCGAAGCAGAGCGCCCGCAAATAGTTTGGGCGGTGCTCGTCGAGGCGCTTCTTCGGCTCTGGGATGTGCGCCGGGAGCTTCAGAGCTGCTCGCGGTAACGCGCAGTGTCGCCGAGACAGACGAGCGCTTTGCTGAGACTGGCTGCGCCAGACACCGAAGACAGGCGGATCGGTGACGGGAGGGAATCTGAAGTGATTCATGCGATCCTTTGTTTCCTCCTCGCCGACGAGCTCTGGAGGAAGCGTGACGGTGGGGGGGAGCCGAATGTCGTACGAGCGTTGCACACGAAGGACGAGCGCGCGCCAGAAGCGTTCTTCATCGGCCAAGAACTGACGTAAGCGTTGCTGGAGCGGGTCTCGACGGGCCCGCTCCCGCCACCGGGTTGTTGGTGTGGGCGTGTTTGGCGAGGCGCTGCGTGTAGAGTGCGATGAAGGCATACGTGTTCCCGTGTCACGCGTCTCCCGCGCGCTTGGGTGCAGGAGGAGTAAGTGGAAGTATCGGCGGCGCAGACTACAATCTGTCGTCAGATTCGCACACGAAGAAGACAAGCAGCGCGCGCTTTTTGCGTTGGAAGTCGGCCTCGCGGTATTTGGACCACACATCGCGCGCAAGCAGCGCCTTGAGACAAGCTTGGATGCTACGGCAGAGTGAGGCCACATGGCAGCGGCGGCTTGGAAACGTACCGGACGACGCAGGCTGGTCAGTCGTGCTAAGGCGCACTGAACAAGGTGGCTGACTGGAGCCGTTTGCTGAGAAGGAGGCCGGGCTGTGCGCCCACAACTCTGAGCTCTGTGCATCGTGGTGCAGCCAAACTCGTAACGCAGTCCCGGTAGTTTCTCGCTGGATACAAAGAAGTGCGTGCTATGCTTTCGTGGCTGTCCCCTCTTGTTTGTCGTTGTCAGTACGTGTTTTTCAGCCTTTTCGCGTTTTTCGCCGTCACGGACTTCCGCGTGAAGGCTTCCGTGCCACTGGCAGAACTGCCCCGTCGTCACCAGCACCCGAAGTTGTCCAATCTCGCACGTCTCCAGGTCTGAATCGTCCTGGACCGCAGCGCGGTGTACACCTGTATCCTCACTCGAATCGTCCGCAATGCGCCGCGCGACCGCTGCGGACGTGGAAGATGCGCATAGGCTTTTTAAGGAGTCTGAATTACTGCTCACAAGCTCGATGGCGCCGATGACGCCCTCCCAGAACCACCCCTTCTCCGCGCCGTAGGCGATCCATGTCGGATTTCGACGACCTCAAGCTGCGCGTTGCTCACCTATCGCATTCCAAATTTCGCGATGCCTACCTGCATCTAAATTACCGTCAATGATTCCCCTCGCCGAGGCGTACGAGTCGCGCGTTGGAGAATGCTCAAC